TGTGTCTGTCAGTCTCCTGGTACCCCTCTGCTGTTGTTCTGTCCTCTCCTATTTCCTGGAATGTGCCCTCTCTGCCTCACACTGGCTAATGTTTCCTCGCCTGTTCAAACATGTCTTTTGTTTCTTTTAGGTGAACTTTAAAAATATTTAGCTTCATAAAAAAAATACAAGTAAGTTGAGGAATTTCAGCTATCATCAGTGGGAGCTAGTTCAGACTGCTGGACTCAGAACCCCGACCACGGTGAGAAGTGCAGGCTCCATGGTCTGGCCGTGGAGTGCATGTGTCAGAGCTGGGCCTCCTGAGCGGCTCAGAAAGAGCAGTGGACAGCGCATCCAGGTGCACATGGAGGACGTGGCAGTCCATTGGAGCCTGGTACAACAGAGGATAGAACAAATTGATCAACTACCCCAGCCATGTGTAGGCAGTGAAAATCTGGGCAAATGGAGACTCTAAGGTGGATTATGTCAGCCAGTGGATTCTGGAGATTTTTCATCATGCTTGGGATGGTGAGTTTGGCAGCAATTCATAACTGTTGAACTATCAAAACCACTTGAGCAGTGCCTTTGGAGCATGCCCCACCTTGGGGACCTTGGGATGGTGGGGAGGCTGGGTGGGGCTTCTCCCTTTGTCTCCTCCCTTCCCCAGGTACAGGAAGGAAAGAGAGAATAGAGAATGTGGAAACAGTGGTCTTACCCACTTTCCTGTGGCCCTTGACCCTTTGCATCCTAATCAACTATGTAAAGATCATTAAAATAAAATAATAATTTAAAAAATACTTGATTACAAGCAATACTACAGTTTTTACATAGGTGATTTTAAGATTTATTTTATTTTAATTGGAAAGTCAAATATACAGAGAGGAGAGACAGAGGAAGATCTTCCATCTGTTGATTCACTCCCCAAGTAGCTACAACGGCCAGAGCTGTGCTGATCTGAAGCCAGGAGCCAGGATCTTCCTCTGGGTCTCCCACATGAGTGCAGGGTCCCAAGGCTTCTGGCTGCCCTCAACTGCTTTCCCAGGCCACAAACAGGGAGCTGGATGGGAAGAGGGGTCGCCAGGATACGAACCAGTGCCCATATGAGATCTGGTGAGTGCGAGGTGAGGCCTTTAGCTGCCAGGCTACCATGCCAGGCCCAGGTGAATTTTTTTAAAGATTAGATTTTTTTTCTTTCTTTGCTGTGTAAGAGAGGAGAAAAGGGACCCTAGAAATAAAAAAATTCCACGTGAAACTTTCTGGTTGTGGAAGAGCAGCGCCCTCTGCTGGTAAGTTGTGTGCACTGAGCACCACTTTGCAAACTAATTTCTATGGGGTCTCCCACTAGTGCTTTTCACCTGCCAGCTCTGTTTTTCAAGCTGCTTTACAGATTATTCCTGTTACTTTGCAACTTTTTTTAAAAAGGCAAAGCAACACACACACACACACACACACACACACACATCTTTCATCTCATCTCCTAGTTTATTCCTCCATTGCTCACCAGGAGCAGGTTGAAAAGCCAGGATCCTGGAACTCCACCTATGTTTCCCTTGAGATCGAAACACTTGCACCATTTCTAGCCTCCCACAGTGCATGTTCTCCGGAAGCTGGACTGCAGATGGGGTACAGACTAACCTGGCACCTATCTGGGAGCGGGATGCAGAAGCCCCAAGTCTGACCACATCTGCCAGGGAGTACTGCCATTGACTCTGGCATGACTCACACCCAGTCCCAACACTTGTCAGCTGGTGCTGTGGCCTAGTTTGGACTTTTTCACACTCCAGTGGGTGTAGGGCAGCTTAGCCTGGCCTGGCCTGCTTCCAGATTCAGCCCAAATGCTGGTTCAAGGATGCTGCAGCCCTGTCTGGACTGGCCCACCCTGCTCCAGCTCTCACGCTCACCAGCAGAAGCAGCAGCCCAGCAGGAGGGTTCCAGAAGTTCCCCTACCAGGCTTACTCTTGTGCTGGATCTTGCAAGTACTGGCAGGTGCTATAGCCCAGCCTAACACGGCTGGCCCTCAGTCCAGGCATTGGCCTGTGAGTACTATGGCCTAGCCTGACTGACCCATACCTATTACAGCCCTTGCTGGTGGGTGTTATATCCCGGCTCAGCCTGGCCCAATCTCAGACCTAGCTCTCATGTGACCCAATGAGTGCCACAGCCTAGCCTGGCCTGCCCCACATCCACTCTGGCTCTCACAAGCACTAGCGGATGTTGGAGCTTAGTCCAGTTGACCTGCTCTTAGATCCAGTCCACATACATGTCGAAAGGTGCCGCAGGCTTTCCCAGCTTGACTCACCCACAGGCCTCGCTCTCATACTCATGAGTGGGAGCCATAGCTCAGCAGGGGAGTCCCCAAAGTTCTCTACAAGGTCTGTTCCCAGCCCCAGGTCTTGTGTATGCTGGCAAGCCCACCTGGAGTCTCATCTCTCGCTGGCAGGTGTTACAGCCTAGCCCAGCCCGGTGGGGCCCACACCCTGTCCTTGCTCTTGTGTGCCAGTGTGCCAGGTGTTGCCACCTGGCCCAGCCTGGTCTGTCCCCAGACCTGGCTCACACAACTCTGATGATAGCTGTAGCCCTGCCTGACCTGGCCTGCCCTCGGTTTCCACAGGTGTAGTGGCCCTGCTTGGCATGGTCTGTTCTCAGTGATGGTCTTTGCATGGGCTGGTGGGTGCTGCAGCCTGGCCCTGCCCATTATCCTCTCAACCTTGGCTCCCGTGAGAGTCAGGTGAGTTCTGTGGTTCAACCTGGCTTGGCCCATTACTAGCTCCAGCTCTTGCATGAACATGAGTGCTGCAGTCCCCCAGAGGCAAGCCCACAAGCCCTTCAGAATCTGCCCCCATTCTGGTGGGTGCTGTGGCCCACTTCCTTACTGCAGCCTAGTCCAACCAGGCATGCATCCAAGCCCCAGCTTTGCATGTATTGATGGGTGGTCCAGACCCAGTCTCCCACATGGGTAGCTGCTTTGGCCTGACCCAGACATGCCCTCCGATTCCCCACCTCTAAACCACTCCATCTTGAGTGGAGGTCCAGGCTCTTGGCTTTGGTCTGGTCCCAGCACAGCTGATGTGGTTATTTAGGGGTAATGAGCCTCCAAATGGAAGATCTCTTTGTCTCTCCCTTCCTAGTACAAATATTTTTTTTTTTTTTGAATGAGGTATCAGGCAAAGGTGCATGTTCATGAAGTTTTGGATTTCACCTCTCTGCCAAGGCAGTCTCGACAATGGAAAGTTGTGATGACTGAAGGTTTATTACAACGTGCCTACTCTTCCTCTGGCTGGTTTGAGTCAACATTACAGAGCCCGTGGCTGCCCTGGCCTGGCTCAGTCACCTGCGGGTGCACAGGCTGGCTGACTCCGGTGAATTCTGCAGCCCTTGGCTTGGGTCTCATCAACCGCTTGCCCAAGGACAGAGGGGTGGAGAGGGAGGAGGCTGGACGTGCCCGCTTCCCGTATGGCAGAGCTTGGGATCGAGTCCTGTCTTCTTCTACTTCTTCTTCTTGAGATCTATTTATTTTTATTGGAAAGTCAGATATACAGAGAGGAGGAGAGACAGAGAGGAAGATCTTCCATCTGCTGATTCACTCCCCAAGTGGCTGCAACGGCTGGAGCTGAGCCAATCTGAAGCCAGGTGACCGGAGCCTCTTCTGGGTCTCCCACGTGGGTGCAGGGTCCCAAGGCTTTGGGCCGTCCTCGACTGCTTTCCCAGGCCACAAACAGGGAACTAGATGGGAAGCGGGGCTGCCAGGATAGAACCGGCGCCCATATGGGATCCTGGTGAGTTCAAGGGAGGACTACTGTGTGGGACCCCTAGTCTTGTCCACTTCTGATCCAGCTTCCTGTTAGTGCACTCCCTATAAGCTGGCAGCCGACAGCTCACCGGCTTGTGCCTCTGGCTCCCCTGGGAGAGACCTGGATGGTGCTTCAAGCCATTGACTACTGTTGTGACAGTTGGAGGAACGAACCAGCTGATGGAAGACCATTCATTCTTTTATTTGTGAAAACCTATTTGAAAGGGATAGTTACGGGGGCGGGGTGGGGAAGAGACAGAGATAGGGATCTTCCATCTGTTGGTTTACTCTTCTAACAGCTGCAACATTCAGGGCTGAGCCAGGCTGAAGCCAGGAGCCAGGAGCTTCATCTGGGTCTCCCACATGGGTTCAGGAGCCCAAGCACTTGGGCCCTGCTTTCCCAGGTGCACGAGCAGGGGACTGGATGGGAAGTGGAGCAGCTGGACTTGAACTGGTGCCCATATGGGATGCCAATGCTGCAGGTGGAGGCTTATTCTATAATGCCACAGTGCCAGCCCCTCAGTCTTTTAAATAAAATGAAAATAAACATTTAAAAGCAACATTCTGCTATCCTATCACACTGAGGAACTTACACAGACACCAGGAAGATCTTTTCAAAATAAAACGGTACTGCTTACACAGCCGAGCAGGTGAACAGAGCTAGATTCTAAGCCTGAGGGGTGGAGGGCTGGAGACGTGGAGGGGGTGGGGTGATGGGGTGGAGTAGTGGAAGGGTGGGGGGTGGAGGGATGGAGACTTGGAGGGGTGGAGGGGTGGAGGAGTGGAAGGATGGAGGCTGGAAGGCTGGGGAGAGGTGCAGGGGTGGAGGGTGGAGGGGTAGTGTCTTGGAGGGGTGGAGACTTGGAAGGGTGGAGGGGTAGAGTAGTGGAGGGGTGGAGGGGTGGAGGGGTGGAGGGGTGCCTGCCATTGGAACCACAAGCACAAAGGCGCTGCCAACATCACGTTCCTGGTCCTCTGCTTCCCCCTCGTGGACTAACTGGAAATAGCAGCTCAAGATTTGGCTCTCGGCGAGGACCGGGAACTGGAGCAGGGAGAAATGGCGCCGTAAAAATCCAGGGAGGTTCAGAGTCTGGTGCCAGGCTTTGGTCACGGACAGGAGGTTGTCAGGAGCTGTGGCTATCCTCAGCGAGGCTGGGCGGGGCGGGGAGGGTCTCAGGGGGAGAGGCCCAGACTTCACCCACCTGTCAATGACGTCAAGGACGCGCTCTGCATGTCCATCGTCTTTATTTTTCCTTCAGACATCGGAATCCAGTGTTCAAGCAGCCATTGCAAGACCCCCAGTGCTTTCTCTGGCCACGAGCTGCTGCAGCGCCCTCGGGCACAATGCCAACCCTCACGCACCTCCTCTGGCAGTAACCAGCCCTTGGCTTTCTGCCTGTGTTGTCAGCGGTTCACTCACATCACCTCCTCCTCCTGTCTCTGTGCTCTGGGATCCACCCCTCCACCCCGTCCCATTCAAGCTCTTTGCACCCCTGCCTGCTCGCACTGGACGGAGGCGCCTGCTGCCATCAGGTCAGAGAGAGGGAATGAGCGGGGGAAGGAATGCCCCCGAGCCAGCAGGCAGGAACCCCACAGCCTGGCTGCCTCCCGCCCCAGGCAGGCCCCTTCTGGTGCCCACTGTGCTACCAGCCCCTCCCACAAAAGGGCAATGGTGGCCTAGGCCTCTTACTGTCTTGCCCCCTGGAGGGGATGCGTGCCCTGGCTCTCCTACCACCTGCGAACCTGGCCTGGGTTTCCCCTGCCCGCCGCCCCTCACGCCTCCAGCCCTTGCCGCAGCCTGCGGTCCAGGGCCAGGAGCTGTCTCAGGAAGCCCCGGTTGGGGGTGATGCCACGGTGGTCCTTGACCTTCTTGATGGCTTCCACGAGGGTGAGGCGGTGGTACAGCATGAGGTAGGCCAGCACCAGCGTGGCGGAGCGGCTCACTCCCACGGCGCAGTGCACCAGGATCCTCCCTGCGAAGGGGGCACGGAGACAGGGCTGGAGGCTGGCAGGAGAGGGAGGCCCTCGCGCCTGGGGGTAAGCCGGTGGAGGTGAGCAGAGACCTAAGCAGTCCCAGCAAGGGATGCTGGCAGTATGCAACCGGGAGGAAAGGAGACAGAGCCACCTGGAGAGGACACAGAGCAGCTCACTGACCCCCACCGGTGTGAACTTGGCCTTGGCCTGGGCTGAGCACCCCTGGGTGCTCAGGGGACAGCACTCTCTGGCTGTCTTATCCTTCTTTCCTTCAAGATTTATTTGAAAGAGAGAGAGAGGAGAGAGAGAGAGAGAAAGAGAGAGAAAGAGAAAGAGGAGAGGGAGAGAGAGAGCCATCTTCCATGCACTGGTCCAGTCCCCAGTCTGTTGCTTGCATCGCTGGTACCCACAGGGGCAATTATAGGAAGCAGTTTTACTTGCTATGCCACGACGCCAGCCTAGACCCCTTCTGTCTAACCCTGCCGTTCTTCAGTCTCCCTTCACCCACTGCATACATTTTTATTTGTATCTTCCTAACCCTCTAACCACCAGGGCTGAGGGGACAGTTCTCTGTCCTGAATGCTGTAGCCTGAGGATGTTATCCTGCAGCTAACATCTCTCCCCTAGGGAGATGGGCGTTGTGGTGGAGTGGGTGAAGCCTCTACCCATGTGCAACAAAACGTCATCCTGACTTTCACGTGATTTCCTCAGTCTGACAGGATAACAGATTACTACTCTTGCAATGTTTGTTTTTGTTTTATTTAAAAGGTTGAGAAGCGTAGGCGCCTGCAGCACTGGCAGCCCAGATGGGAGCCTGTCCGAGTCCCAGCTGCTCTAACTTCTGATCCAGCTCCCTGCCAATGGTCTGGAAAAAGCAACAGGAGATGGGCTCAAGTGGCCTGGGCCCTGTCACCCAAGTGGGAGACCCAGATGAAGCTTCTGGATCCTGGCTTCAGACTGTCCCAGCATGCCCTGAGAGTGAACCAGCAGATGGAAGATCCTGCTCTCTCTGTCCCTTCCTCTCTCTGTTACTCTTGGTTTCAAATAAATAAACAAATTTAAAAACCCCTAAATTTGTCTCCACCCTTGAAGCCCAGGGCTCCTCCCAAGCTGTCTGAGGCCCCTTCCTCTCACCTACCTCCCGGCTGGCTCAGGGCCCGGTGGATGAAGTCGGCGGCTGTCTTGAAGTGGACGCTCATGTCAAAGGCTGGCGAGTCGTGGGCCTCGACACCCAGGTAGCGGATGCCCAGCCCTTCGTAGGCCTCGGGGGTGCCTCGCCACCTGCTGTGCGACGCATTGAGTATGTGTGTGATGCCCAGGCGGCGGAGCTCTCGGCGGTTGTTAGCCATGTCCCTGTGTGGAGCAGAAGTTGGAGACAGGGTGGGGGCAGCCAGGGGGAGGAGCGCCATCGCTGGTTCCAGGCGCTGTCGCCGGGGGAGGGCCCAGCGGAAGCAGCCAGTCCTAGCCTGTTGGCCTGGAGGGGCGGGAGCTGAGGGTAGGGGTGACGCTGGGTCTGAAGAAGGGAAGGTTAAGGGGGTACGGGGTGCAGAGGCCAGCCGTGGGAACACGGTCGGAGTGCTGGGAGGAAGTGAGATGTGGCCGGATCTGTGGGGACAGTCCTCATGGGTAGAACCGGGGTTGGAAGACACCACTGGACAGCTGACCCCAAGTTCCCAGCCAGGAGGGGACTGCCCAGGGGGTATTCAAGCAGTTGGGGATCACACAGCACGGATGCTGCTGTGCGCACGAGGCTACCCGTGGGCTGCTGGACTTGCTCACATGTAACCTTGAGCTGCTGTGGCTCTAACCCAGTTCCTCTATGCTTCCTTGGAGATCCACAATGCTCATGGGTTTGGCCAGTTATCCTGCAGCGCGTAAGTGCCTTGTTCGCGTGGTGTGACCGGCATGTGTTCGGTCGGCCAGTGACCCCCTCAGCTGAGTGGCAGATGCCCCTCAGAGCCAGTGTGCTGTCTGAGAGCCAACTCCTCAAGGAGACCCTCCCAAGTCCTGGCTCTGCTACTTAGGACCTGTCCGAGCTTCAGTTGCTTCACCTGGACCCTGAGGGCCCTGGGATACCCACCCCACGAGAGCTGTGAGGAACAAGGGAGAGAATGCAACTGAACACAAGCTTTGCACCCTCCCGAGTCCTCGGGTCGCTGGTGGGAGAGGATGAGGAAGGGGGACTGTCCTTCCTCTGGGGGTCCTGTCCCCTCAGCCCTGCCATGTGCTGGGTCCTGCAGGCATTGCAGGGTCTCAGGGGGCCTCATGCCTGTCCTTGGCTCCAGCAGTGGCCTCTGCCCGCAGCCATACGGCACGAGGGATGGAAGCACAGGGCGTCATGTCCAGGGCCAGCCTGGTACACCGGGCCGGCCTTGCCTACGGACTTCACAGTCATCTTTACTATCCATCTGGCCCACGCTCCCCCAATCCCCATGGCCTCTCCCTGCGCCCTGCGCCCTTCTCCCTCCTGGGTCCCCACCGTGGAAAACCAACAGAACCAACAGCACACACTTGCCGCCTGCCTGCCTCTCTCCTCCTCCTCCACACACACACACACACACACAGGTCCAGCCACGGTCCCAGGGTGCCCCGTACATACTGGTCTCCGAGGTAGAGGCCTGGCCAGACCTCATCAGCGTGGTTGCAGGCTGTCTTGCCGGTATAGAGGAGCCGCTCCAGCTCAAAGACGTTCAGGAAGGGATGCTGAACGGCCGGCATCTCCTCCAGGCTGCCTCGGGGGCGGACGGGAGACCTGGTGCTCCCCCGGGAGAAGCGGGCCATGAAGGTCATGGAGGCCCAGAGCCAGTTCCCAGGGCACATCTTCCAGGCGGCTGCGGGCACGAGGGGCCAGGTGCTGGCAGAGGCAGGGGCGAGAGACAAGGCTTGGGTGAGTCCAGGGTGGCGGCCGTGGCTTCTTGACAGATGTCCGGGCGGGGCCCCGGGCTGGCAGGTTCCTGAGTGAGGGGAAAGTGAGTGGGTGTTGGGGGGAGGGCTTCAGGACTGCTTCCCCCCCCCCCCCCCGAGGAAATGGTCATGAGCAATGCTCATTTTACTCAGCCAGGCTAAGAGGTAGGAGAGTCACGTGTCCTTGTTTACGGGAAGTGAGTTGCCCAGCCCCCACTGCTCGCTCGCTCTCTCTCTCTCTCTCTCTCTCTCTCTCTCTCTCTCTTACACACACACCCCACTGGCATATCAGGGTGACCAGACGCACTGCTGGGGCTCATGCTAGCCCCGACAGTTGGGGTCTGTTGGCACAAGAGTCTAACAGATCCGGGCTGGGGTTAGGGCCTTCTTGAAAATCCATCCAGAGGGAGTTAGCAGGCAGACAGTAGCATTTGGGGACATGACATATGCCGGGTCTGCCTCCTTGGCCCTTGGAGATAAGCCAGTTGTGGAAAGTGTGTGTGTGTGTGTGTGTGTGTGTGTGTGTGTGTGTGTGTGTTAGCAGCGCAGGGTGGGGTAAGCCAGAAAGAGAAAGAATAAGTTTTGTGAAGCTACCTGCTGGATGCAAGAGCTAGTGGGAGAGGACGCCAATCCTTGGGCACAACAGGCAAACCACGATGCTTTGGCCCGGCACCAGGACACTACTGATCAAACTTTACTACTTCTGTTGAGCACTCATGGTTGAATAGGGCTAATTGTGTGTGTGTGTGTTTGCAAAGGCGGGGGGTGGGGGGGGGAGAGAGCACAGCAGGAGGGAAAGGCCAGGACCAGCCACACACAGGGGCTCGATGGATGTCCCTGGGGGAGTCAGCTACGGGGCTCGGAGGGTGGCTCTCACACTACCCGCGGGCAAGGAGCCCCTGACAAGGCAGAGCCAGGGAGGGCCAGCCTGGCAGACTTGCCCTGGGATCCGCAGGCAGACAGGCCACTTGGCCAAAACCCCTCTGTCTCCCTCTTCCTCTCACATGTGTACGCTGGCCTGTTTGGAAGGATGGGCTAACCTATAGAATACCCTCCCCTCTGCCCAGCGACTTCAATCTAACCACCCCCTCCTCCTGTGAGAGGCCATCTTTGTCCAGGACCACACTCTTACCAGGGCCTGGCTCTTCCAGTTCGCCTTCCCACTCACTCCAGCTTCTTCCCTACTCCCTCCCCACAGCCCAGATCAAGCCCTTGCAGGGCGTCTTAGCATCAAGACAGGAAGAACCCCCGCATTCCTGGGGTGTTTAGGGAGAGATCTCACACATACCCTGCCACGGTGGGGTCAGAAGGAGCATAGGGCTGTGGCACGCTGTACCAACAGCACTGCTCATCCTCATCGGCCGTTTCACCACCACCACCATCATCATCAACATCATCATCCTCACCCACCTGTCTCTTGGGACCGAGAAAGATCGCCATCACTTTTATTCCTAAGCAACCTCCCTTCTTTCCAGACCCTGCTGCCTACGTGACGCCGAAAGTAAGAGAAGCGGGAAGAACAACAGATGAGCTCACCGCGGAACTCTAGGTGTCCTGGCGAGGCGGAGACGCCCTCCCGCTCCCGGAATGTACCCCTCCTGGCCTAGCCTTCTACTAACCCTCCGCCACTCTCAGGTCTCTAAGCTGTCGCCGCGGTTCTAACAGGTTCATGGCTGTCGCCCCAGACTCGCCAACCCAGACAGTCGGGCGCCGCCGAACGCGCGGAGGAGGGCGCGCTGGAGAGCGCGCAGCGGCTCGTTCTGTTTCAGCCTCTCTCTCTACTCCCAGCCCCGAGCCCGTGGGAAGGCGACCACCCGCATCAGCCCCTCTACCTTGTCGCCGCGCAGAGCAGGGTCTCAGTCCCGATGGCAGGTGGTCGGTGCACGCAGCCCCCAGGCCATGACTGTCTCCCGCGCCACCGCCGCCGGCGGCGGCACCGAATGAGTGTCTATTTTTAAGCCGTGACAAGCACGTCGAAGCGGGGTTGGTGTCTGGGTGTGTGTGGGCGACACGCAGGCCCGCGGTCTCGCACGGAGCGGTGCGCGTGCCACGCAGCGTGGGCCCCGCTGCACCCTGCGCGCGGGCGGAGCGCACCCAGACCGCGCAGCACCCAGCGCGCGCCGGCCTGCCAGCCTGGTGGCGCCACCTAAAGCGAAAGCTTTTGGCCTCAAGAAGACGGTCCCAGCCTTTGCCAGACTGAACCTCAGACACGCACACTCCTCCTCCTGGATAAGATTCTGTACAGGGGTGTAGTCCTCAGCCTCAAGAAAACCGTGTGGTAAATGGCAGTGCTCATGGCCGTGTTCCAGATACCCTCAACTGCAGTCTATGAAATCAGCATGACCCTTATTTTCTCATTTTTGGCAGGTGTTGGAGGCACAAAGAGAAGTCAAGCCATTTACCTTGGGTTGCAATGCAAATGATTGGTGGACCTGAATTTCAAACTCTCTGGTTCATGACCTTCATGACCTTTTCTTTTCTTTCTTTCTTTCTTCTTCTTCTTCTTTTTTTTTTTTTTTTTTTGCGATTTATTTATTTGAAGGAGAGAGTTATGGGGAGAAGGAGGGGAGATGGGGGGAGGGGAGAGAGAGAGAAAGAGAGAGAGAATGAATATGTCCACTTGCTACACAGTTGTAATGATTACTGCTGAGCTCGTCTGAAACCTGGTGCAATGAACTTCTTCCGGGTCTTGGAGGGGTCCCAAGGCTTTGGACCATCCTCCATTGCCTTCCCAGGCCACAAGCAGGGAGCTGGATCAGAAGCCAGGGCTTGAACTGCTGTCCATACGGAATGCTGGCACCACAGGCGGCAGCTTTACTTGCTGTGCCACTGGGCCAGCCCCTGGCTCACATCCTTAACCAGACCCTCACCCAGGGCCCTTCCCACAGGTGTGAATTTTCCACTTGCATCAGCTGAACTCATGGCCAAGGTCACTCTTTCCCCAGACTCCGAGGAAGGAAAGGCCACCAGCCGCTGCCAGCTCATCTTGATGTACCTGCGGAGTGTGCAGTTACAGCTGAGTGAGAGGAGGGTAGGGAGAGTAGAGTCAAGTTTGTTAAAGCACCTATCGAGAGGGGCAGGGAAGAGTCGTTGAGGGGAGGTGGGGCACCCTCTCTTCCTGGTTCTATCCCTAAAGTGCTGGCCGGTGATGGGACTCTGATGCTCATGACTGGCGTTTGTGATGGACACCTGCAAGCCATATACCACTGGGTCCCTGTGCATGTGGGCGTGGACCAGCCCCTTCTGCTGTGGCTGGGCTTCCTGAGGATCTTACAGATCGGATCACCCAGCTGACGGCCTTGTGGGGCACTGTTGGACAGCAGGGTCCTTGGCATTGCTTCTGGAGGAGGGTTTTGCTGCTCCTCCCTGGAAGCTCAGGTCTACCTTGTGCCCCACCAGCTGTCCCAGGTACGTTCCTTTGCCCACAAACCTCTTTATTGTCAGTATCATGTAAGTTTCAAGATTTAAAGTGCATCAGAGGCTATGGCCGGGTTACCTTCTCAAGAGCCTACCTCTTGGGGGTGTAATGGAGTGGGTAGGCGAGGGAAATGAGGCCATGGGCGGGGAGGGGGTGGGTCCCAGATGTTGCTGGGTAGAGAACCAGGCAGATTGCAACTCTGTCTCCTGGGTTAGAGCACGCTGGTGGATTCTTTGTAGCTGAGATCCTCCCCAGCAGCTGTGGCACACCAGGCTTTGATTCCTGGGTGGGAAAAGGTGATGGGATCCCTGAGCCACTTCTGTGGGAAAGGGGCAGTCACTTTGCTGGATGCTCTAGAGACTTCTTCTCCAGAGGTACAAAGGTTAAGTTCTTTTCAGTTTCCCTTGGCTGGCTTGGTGGGATAGCATGCCCGAAGCAATGTAATCCTTGTCTTTGCCAACCATGAGGCAGCCTAGGAAACCTGAGGTCTGCATTTGCTGATCCAGAACACGCTCGTTTGCTCTGGTCACACAGTCAGCTGGGAGAGGCACTTATTTGTCAGTTCAAGTGCATGTTAAGTGACCTTCAGTGGTGCTGGTCAACTGAGAAGATGCATCTTTCAGGGGACTTGTCTCCCAATGCTGTACTGATCTTCGCTCAGAAAGCTGGGACAATGTGGTTTCAAGAGACCGGCCTTGTTTATGGGTAACCATGGAAACCGGGCATGCCAGCATCTCCATGAGGACCGTTGCCATGAGTCGACCCACAGCCCACACGGCTTCCTATTTCTCTCTGACTCTGAAAGGCTCATTATGTGTTCAGGTGACATCAACCAAGCAAAGAGAAACCACGTGTCCCCACGATCTCTGTCAGCCCAGTTAATCCCAGCTACATGATGGGTGGCTGTTCATGTCCTTGTTGAATACCAGAGGAGGCTGATATTTGCAACTTGTGGACACAAAACTTAAACTCAGGGCTGTTTTTTTTTTTTTCTAGAAATGTCAATATTACAAGGATGAATGACTGCCTATAGAAAGGCTTGCTGCATTGTTTCTTTTTTTTTTTTTAAAGATTTATTTTTTTATTATTTTTTCATTGGAAAGGCGGATATACAGAGAGGAGAGACAGAGAGGAAGATCTTCCGTCTGATGATTCACTCCCCAAGTGAGCACAACGGCCAATGCTATGCCAATCCGAAGCCAGGAGCCTCTTCCGGGTCTCCCACGCGGGTGCAGGGTCCCAAAGCCTTGGGCCGTCCTGGACTGCTTTCCCGGGCCACAGGCAGGGAGCTGGAAGGGAAGCGGGGCTGCCGGGATTAGAACCGGTGCCCATATGGGATCCTGGGCGTGCAAGGCGAGGACCTTTAACCACTTGCGCCACTGCGCCGGGCCCTGCTGCATTGTTTCTTATGCATGGATTTGTTTCTTGCGCTCCTTCTATCAAAGGATAGGAGTTTACTTGTTAATGGGCAGATTTAGAACTGTCCTTGGGCCTGCTATTGTGGCACATCAGGCTACGTTTCTGCTGGTGATGCCAACATCCTATAGAGTGCCTGTTCAAGTCTAGGGTACCCATTTCCAATGCTGCTCCCTGCGAATGGGCCTGGGAAAGCAGCAGAGGATGGCCCAATTGCAAAGGCTCCTGCACTCGTAAGGGAGACCTGGATGGAGCTCCAGGCTCCTGCTGATGTTTCGTCAGCCAACCACATCCTAACAGCCTCATGTCTGTTCTTCCAGCGCTGGTCTGCCATTGTAGGTCCAAGCTGTCCTCTTGGCAGGTGTTCAAACCTGGCAGCACCAACAGATAGCTCCTTTTGTCATGAAGAATAACAAAAGACTGATCTTTGGGGGTGCCCCGTGTTGAGGCTGGTTCAATTTTTACGCCTCCTTCTTTGTCTTCTTTCTCAACTTCTCCCACTTGTGACTGGTCCATGGAGCCTTTCTCTGGATAGCACTTTGGTCCTTTGAGTACAGTGAGAATTTGGTTTGGGGTTCAGTTCCAGCCCTTCCTTCTCCCCCCATGCAGTCTGCAGCACTTTCCCCATGAGGGATGAGGACACATACCACCATGAATGTAACTTTCCTAAGGGCCACACCTATCGCCAGGAGCAGAAAAGAAACAAAGAAAAACCAGGAGCAGAAAAGAAACAAAGAAAAACGTGTGTAAGCACATTTTGGAAAAAATGGTAAAGAACTATGCTAGATACTAATGGAAACACTAGCCTGACTGGTTTTTATCTCAGTCTTTAAACCGTAATGCCATTTGGTTGACGATTCCCGACTTTTCCACCACCTGGATTAATTAATTGTTTTTCTATGAAATTGGTTTCAAACTTCCTTAGGGGCATACCTGTGTTTCACACGTGCTTGAAAAACTGGCAATCTCCACTTGGGAATTCAGTTTTCCATCTTTATTTCCCTTCTCTGAAAGGTTTTAAAAGATCCCAAATCATTCATGTTTTTGTTTTGTTTTGTTTTATTTGTTCCTGAAATTGGGATTAAAACCTGCAGCGTGTTTGTGAGCTTGTTGAGTTCTAGGCTGTGTGATTAACATGCAAGGTTTGCTGGTATTATCTCTTTAAAATTTAAAACGGTCTTTTGGATAATCGGTAGTGTCTCTAGGACTCTAAAGACATTTTACTTTAAATTCTACTGTGATAGTGAGATTGACTTATTTTTCTGTTGCTATTTTTCTTACATTAAATTTGATCTGTTTTTTAAAATATTTTTATTCTTTTTTTTTAAGGTTTAGTCATTTTTATTGGAAAATCAGATTTACAGAAAGGAGAGAAACAGAGAGAAAGATGTGCTGTCCATTGGTTCACTCTCCAAGTGGCCACCATAGTGGCCAGAGCTGAGCCGATCCGAAGCCAGGAGCCAGGAGCTTCCTCTGGGTCTCCCACATGGGTGCAGGGTCCCAAGGCTTTGGGCTGTCCTCGACTGCTTTCCAAGGCCACAAGTAGGGAGCTGGATGGGAGGTGGAGCATCTGGGACATGAACTGGAACCCATATGGGATCTTGGTGAGTACAAGGCATGGATTTTAATCACTAGGCTACCATGTGAGGACCCTTAAGTATAACTTTTATAAACTGTTTATATAACTAGATTTAAAAAAATCAGTCCATATCTCAGTGAGTCTTTTTATATTTATTGTGATTATTGGTATCAATTAACTGATTTCTGTTGTCATGCCTCTTTTTTCCTTTGACTCGATTCTTAAATTTTAATTTGACTTTGTGTTATTTTATTTGGGAAGCAGAGAGATGGGGGTAGGGGAGGAAAAAGACAGGGTAGAATTTCCCATTCTTTGCTGGTTCACACCCCAAATGCCTGCAACAACCCAGGCCGGGCCAGGCTGAAGCCAGGCGCTAGAAACGCACTCCAGGCTGCCACGTGGGTGGCAAGGATGCAGGCACTCGAGTAATCACTCCCGCCTCCCACGACATGGAATTGGAAGTGGAGTCAGGATTTGAATTCAGTTCTGATGTAAGATGCATGCACCCTCAACAGTGTTC